AGAGAGAGAGAGAGAGAGAGAGAGAGAGAGAGAGAGAGAGAGAGAGAGAGAAAGGGGAAAAGAAAGAGATAATTTGTCTCGCGAGCCCTTTCTATATTTTCCAACTTTCGCGTGCCGCATTTAGAGACGAAATATTCACGGATAAGTTATATTCGTTAACGAGCAATGCGCAATCGCGCGCTCAACTTGCGGCTTCCGCCGGGCTTATCTGGCGCTACCCTTATCTTTGGTATCGTGAAAATCGCAATTTCGTAGCGCGGAAAATTCAAAGGGCGGAAAAGCGAGACCGGGTCGGAAAAGAGAGTTGTATACCGATGATAACAGTTTAAATTACATTCCAGGCACGTGTTTCCGCATAAACAACTTTTATTGAGATTTTAACTTTGTTGTTGCGCGACGGCGGCCGTTACGTGGTGGTGCTCGCTCTGCCTTAACGCGTCTCTCTCCTTTGGTATTTTTGTTTTTAGCCTCCTTTCTCTATACCTATTTTTCCTCTTCATCTCGATCGACTGTGCCTCTCGTTATCGCGAAATATTATCGAATCTATCGTAGGTCGTTTAATAACTGTCTTCTTCCCATCCTAATTAGCGCGGATGGGCGGTCGAGGCCAGGGCGGATAATCCGCATTTAATTATCCCTCCTCGTTCACTAAACTTCGGCTCGCCGTGCGACCCTTTTCCCCACATATACCTCTCCAAGTCCCTCGATATACGTCATTTCCAGAGACAAAAACAACGGTGCAATCCCCTGCGCATCAGATAAACGGAAATAATTACAGCTGCCGTGCGTGCGGCGCATAAAGCTTCGAACGAGAGAGAGAGAGAGAGAGAGAGAGAGAGAGAGAGAAGGAGAGAGAACGGTTGTGCTTAGGGATGCAAGCAGGATGTGTGCGGAATTTTAGAAGTACGGCTTTTCGTCTGCCTTCAGCTTCGCTCGTGGTTACGTTCCTTGCTAATATTAGCCGCCGAATATGCAATATTCTTCGTGTAAAACGACTATGAGAGCAATAGTGTGTACTTTATTAACACGTACGTAAAATCGTAATATTCGTCGAAAAAAGACTTCGTTGGCGTAGGATCATGGTTTGCTGACGATACCGTTCAGCCGTATGTCTGGCCCGAGGTATTACAAGAGAAGGTGCCGTCGAGACTTGACTCTTTCCAAATCTTTCGATCCACGAATGGCGAGCTTTTCGCGCGACGCTGTAGCGACCGGCGGACAATTACGATAATCGAGCACCATGGCCGAACCTAATTGCCGAGATCTCCCTCGATGAATGGAGGCTCGCCTAATTTGCGATTGCATTATTATCAGCGATACATACAGGTAGCTTTCTCCCTCTCTCTCTCTCTCTCTCTCTCTCTTTCTCTGCGGCGCGAGCTCGGCGATGCACTGCCGGTCGCTGATCTATAGGGTCTATTTGCGCACGGCAAATTGTGTACTCTGTCGTATTAGGATTGCGTCCGTGCGCGCACGGCGGTTTAATAACGTGCTCGCCGATCGACCGCGTGTCAACGGACGAGCGCTTGTCAATTCCGACGACGAGAGTCATCGATCATGCACGAAACGTAGAGTTAAGTAATCCGCAGCGTTGAGCCGGCCGTAGACGTGAGCTGGCAGGCGGAAGGGTTGTTCCTGTGACGGAGGGTGACTGTATAGGGCGCTTGTAAAATTACCGCGCGGCGGCACGCTCTCTCTCTCTCTCCCTTTCTCTCTCTCTCTCTCTCTCTCTCTCTCTCTCTCGTTCTTTGTGTGTGTAATGTGTGTATACTCCCGCGTATTGCCTTAGCCCAGATGAACTGCCGACGCGTGTAGATTGGAGCGATCATACTACATAACGCGATCAGTCATTTTGCGATCTGCGTGCATTCTTCGTGTTCGAGTAAATCGCCGGAAACGTGGCTCGGGGATTCACGTCAATCGATTCATCCGTTCATCCGTGTCGTATTAATGAAACGGCCGTACAGTATCGTTACCTTCTCCGCTTCGGCAAACTCTTTTCTTCTTCATTGTTTTGGCTGTATCCAAAAAAAATCTCATCCTCAGTGGAATCCTCCTATATATTATGGTCTCAAAGGGATTTTTTGTAAACCAAAAGGAAAATATTCTGAGCACAATATTCTTCAAGTCAGAGAAATTTTGTGTTTTATATCTACAAGTTTTGTTTTTAATAGGATTTTCTTCTCTCTAGTATAAGTTTATATTTTATAAGTTTATATTACTTGTTCTATTAATAGAAATTTTTCTTCTTGCCCTCTTCTAATAAAAGGACATTTTGTTTTAAGTAGACATATATCTGTTGA